CTTATTCTTTCGTCTATTGAAGCGATGGAAACACTTGGAGTGCAGTGTTACTGCAGTACATAAGACAAGTCCCTTCTTTTAACAGTAGAACTATTAACTGTAAATTTTTAATTAACGTGTTTCGATAACCCACCAGACTACCCAACGGGGCTTGTAAAGCAGTGCTGCTTTGTTCATTGTCCAAAGGAGCGACCGAATGTTTACTAGGGAAAGACACAAAACGGACCGTTGGTTTTCAGAACGTATCGATAAAGGGTGGTTGTCACCCAAGAAGGACTTGGAATGGACGGTTGAAACAAATGTAAAGCTACTGACATCTGCTCATGTTTGGTCAGGGATCACACAGCAAAGCAAGGAACCGAATGGACATGGAGCATGACTTACGATGTGCATTACCTGAAACGGCATCAAATTTGCCAAAAACTTTTGGAACTAAGCATTGTCAATCATCTTATTAACATCACCACTTGATTAATTAAAAATTGCTCTAAAATGAGCTTTTATTATATAAATAAAAGAATAATTAAAATAACATTCATTTGCTGTTATCCAAAGTAAAAAATACAACAGTTATTAGGAAATTAGCATTTAAGTAAAAAATGTTTTGATTATAGTGGATCCGCATTGGGGGTAAGAGCCACAAAATGGTTGGGAACCACTGCTCCATATGTATCACCTTATTCCTCGTGAGATATGTTTCTCTACTGTCTGTTACATCCGTCACTGATATTGGTTAGTTAGTTCAGCCACACCGCGTTCTTATTAGTTCCCCATGCACTGACCAATCAATAGTTCTTCACTCATCCTTTAACTCGTGTGTCATGTGAGCCACGTCGCATTGCTTCGCCCGATACACTTTGTTTCGTACTGTGTCTTGTTCTTGCCTAACAGCGGTCTGGGGGCGTGCTTTGCTTGAATTCGTTACTACGTATTACTGCCTCAGCTCGTTTCCGCATTCTCGTCCACGGTCGGGGGTTTTGGGCAGTTTCTTTGGGTTTTGATCAGCAAATCCACGGCGACTCAACATTTTTGGCGACGGAAGCAAAGTTATTCAAGATGCCAATCTCAGCAGAAAATCTGAAAGCTATTTTCCTTTAACAGTAGCAACAATTCGGGGCCGCATAGTTGCGAATGATCAAGACCCTCACTCAAACACTATCGTTCCAGTCTACAACCGTCCACAATGCTGATAAGTCTTCAGTTGATGCAGTAATATACAATGTCAGTGAGATTCTGTTTGACCCCACTTCAGGGCTGGTTTTCGAAGCATAGGTCAGACGATATGAAGATACTACCAAAACAGAGTCAACATATCTTGATGATATCCTGATTAAGTAAAGTCGAAGTTGTGGAGCACCACAGATACAGCGGTTACATTCTGCCAAAGAGTGCTTCGATGGAACAATTTCCCGACTCAGGGAGATGTTCAGCGCTCAGGCTTCGCTTTGCAACAGTCTGTACAACTACTTGAAGCTGTGTAAAATGGACAACTACAGTCACATCGTCCATGCAGCAACAGTGAAACGTGGGTACTAGAAATTCACGCTGAAGCCAATTGCTGAACACCAATTTGAGTGTCTGCTATTGGTATGCAGCCTGCAATATCCCAAGAATGCCGAGATCTGAACCAGAAGACATGGGCTCTTGGAGCGAGACCTGAAAATCACACTGAAAACTGTCATTGCAGAGGCTCAGAAAATCATCAAGTTAAAACACGATACAGCTATGGTGGAGGATACAACGACGAATTCCAATGATTTCGCAGTGCAGCAGCTATTACGAAACAAGTTTCCAGTCAATGATCGCAAGAGGCTTCCTCAATAGAAGCCACCATCATCATCAACAGTACACGTCAGCTGAGGGTGAGAAACACACCTCAGCTAATGTGCCGCAACACAAAAGATAAGAGACTAAAAAATACATTACAAAAAGATGATGTTAAATATTATATGTGTTGCATGAGATCGGGATTGGAGAGGGAACCTAAAGGGAAGGGGATGGACAGAGAAGCTCACAACACAAACATAATTGCGGCCGGCTCTTCGCCACATCAGAAAGTGTGTCCAACCAAACGTGTTCATCGTCCTTAGGACCCCAGCCAGGCAGTCGGGATACACCAACCGACGCCAACTTCGAAGTGAGGGTTTTCATTCCTCTCGGCTAAGTCATCGCTTGGCCTACACTCCGCCTCTTCTAACCGCACCTCCGGAGCGCAAACAATGCACGTGGCGGAATTCGGTATGCTGGAATGCACAGTACGTGGCCAAGCCATCGGAGCCTGGTGCGGGATATAATGGTGCAGAGCGGTTCACTCGCTCTTCCTGCACCAAATACGCGATGCCGAACACGCCCATTGCACACGCGGTGCTCCCACCAGACATGAGCTAAGCTGCGAAGACAACGATGATCAAATATGACGAGTCTCTTTATGTCTGTCGACCCGATGGGCCAGGTTTCACAACCGTATAAGAGAGTTGAACGGACGGCTGCGTTATAAACCCTGCCCTTCAGGGCGACAGTGAAGTCGCGCCTGCACCACAAGTGGCGGAGATTGGCAAAAGCAATTCGAGATTTTGTTATACGCTTCATAACCTCACCTTTGATCCTACGGGCTGTACCCACGGACGTCGCGGATTTTTGGATCAACGTGTGCTGGATACTACTTTTGCCTCAGATTACTATGTTAGCAGCGTTTTATCTGTGTGAATTGTGCACCAATATTCTTCTTTTGGCGTATTTTCCAAGCGGTGCAAATTTGGCGGCTATTCTTTGGCTAATTCCGGAGATCTCATTGATTTTCCATACTGCCATCTCTGTCCGCCATCTTGGATTTGCTCTAGCTTGTGATGCCGTCTTAAGTTACTTGTGGTTCGTGTTCGAAAGTGGTGGGAACTAAGGCTCATGCACTTCGATGCTTCGGCTGTGATGTTTTGTTCCACATTTCGTGCATTGGCTTATCCGTTGACGTGTTTCGAAAATCGCTCGACATCCGACATCGGTTTTTTCAAGTTATATGTGATAAATGTCGCGGTACAAGACATCAGAATACGCAGCGACCGCAAACAACTACGGGAAAATCTCTCTTTCAGATAGAAACAAACCGTTCACCACGTGGGATCAAACGCCCTCGTGAAAGTACCTCTGTCTCCTCGCCTTCTATTGTCACTCCGCGATCTGCACCACCACCAGTGTCTTCGACCCCGGTCGAACCCCAGGTTCAATGGTACCCACCGATGGAAGACTCAGACTAGGAAGCCACGAAGTGCCGCTTCACTGATCGGTCCGTGAATTTCTCAGAGCCTGTCTGTGAACTTCTGAACATCGAGGATCCATGGACTGCTCAAAAGCGCAACGGACCATGTAATCGAGTTCAGACGTCACCTGCTGATAAACAACAACCCAATCAGTTAAGCGCCTCTAGTTCTGCTCCCACAGGTTCATCACTGATTTCGCTGAGGCGTCATAATCTCATGGTCTTCCACGTACCGGAGTCAAAAGATGAAAACCCTCAGATACGTTATGATCGCGATGTTGAGTTCCTCCAGGGGCTCATCGATAGACTCTTGGATGTAGGCGAGGACAGTGTGACGATTAAACAAGTAATCCGACTTGGCCAGAAAACTAACCAGTCATGTCGACTTCTGAGGATCACCTTTGCAAATCCCAACATGCCGCAGCTCATACTGTCTCGTCTGTCAAGGCTGAAAGGCATAAAAGATCACATCCGCCGAGATTTAGAACCCGAAGACAAGGATCGTTTGAAGACTGCTGTCATGGAGCTCGAAAGCCGTACAGAGGAAGGTGAGACTGACTTCCAAGTTGTAAATTTTCGGGTAATCAAGAAGGGTGTACGAACCCGTATCAACCGGTTGCTCAACCTCCAGGCACGTCCCGCAGTACCTCCCAGGACCTATGTGTAGCATTCGCCAACGTGTGCAGCCTAAGGAACAAACGTGATGAACTGTGCCGCTTCGCTGTCTCGGAGCGGCCGGACATTTTAGGACTTGCAGAGACATGGCTGAACTCCGACGTCATACCCCAAGAAGTCGTGTTGTCAGGATACTCTTGTTTCCGATGCGACCAAAAATCACGGTCGGTGGTGTTCTGCTGTACATAAAATCGTCACTATCTAGCAAACTTCTCAGTACCTATCGGAGAAGGAAATGCTAGTGCGATTATTGCTACTGGCGCTGAGTCGAACACAATAAGAAGTACTTGACTTTGTTCAACAGTGACTGCGAAGCGTCGCCAAAGTCGACTGTTCAACCGCTCTTGAAATCCGCCAGCTGTTGCTTGGCAAAACTAGCTGATTTCTAATCGATTCGTCCATTAAAATGGAAACATCTACGCTGGCTAAGTCATATTTTTTGTACACTCGATGACCACGTCGCAAGTAGTGTACTGACTGCCAATAGTACACCTTGCTGGGCGAAGTCTCCAAGTGACTGGTGAACAACATTGTGAAGAAGCATAAAAACGCCAACGGAAAAAGTGTGCTGCGTTGCTGCATGTACTCATCCTGGGTGAAGGTCTCGGGATCGGCCCCAGCAAGGTCAGAAAGCCTAGCGGATGCAGCGTATTTGCGGAGTAAACTGCGTGTTTTTCATTCGTTCCCTTGCGTCTTATTCATGCATAATTTTTGCATTTCGACAAGGGTAATGTTTAAGACAGCTTTTCGAGTGCATTTCTCTCTGTTTCTCGCATCATTTCTCTCTCTCATTTCTCTGTTTCTCTCTCATTATTAGCAGCATCACCACCAGTAGTAGTAGTAGTACCAAAAGCGCTGGCAAATGCAGTGGTATGAGTCAAAGCAAGTGAAACCACTGCTTGATACTAAATGGTACATGGGTGGCTAATTGCGCTAATAAGATCAATACATTTGAGAGCGATTCGTACGCTCTAAAGGTGGACAGATGGGCTATGCGGTTAAAGAATGATGACCGATGGACAGAATAAGGTCATTCGGAAAGAGTCGGTAAGATGCTGTTAAAATATGAGCCTTAAAAGAGCTGTGGTAAACACATGTTAACGAAACATACACTTACTGCACAAAGAAATGAATGTGGGTGCTTGAAATTATTTGGATGCAAGCAGCCACGACATTGGAGAGAGGGATCCAGCTCGACTGAAAAGTAGAAAATGAAACAAAAATGGATACGCTAGCGAGCGTTAAGGTAAGAAATATAAGCTAAGCACACGAGGAATAGCAAACATAGTTGTACTGCAGGTGAACAGGATTTCAAAACTAAATTGACGCTAAATATTTGATATTCCTACGGGAAAACCACGAATACACAGGGGAACATTTGTTGAAACACATGAAACTTGTGAAAATCCAGGTTAACCAAGTGGAAAAGAAAACGCCTTAGACGAGTGAGAAAGACATCGGCAAGACTTTACGTCGACGCTTCGCTGCTACGCAGGCACCAGTTGCTGCATCCACAACGGCATACGGTGGGGTCACCCCAACCAGCGAGGGTTAGAGCTAGTGACCAGTGGATAGGGCTTGAGGGCCAACGTCATCGTGACGAAGAAGTTGGTGTGGATGTGGTGCGGTGATTTTTATCCTTCTATGATGATAAGGCGAGCTACGCCTTCGCACTAGCCATGTGGGTCTCTAGTCAAGCCGAATTCAGGGCTCAATGGGCGAGTGAAGATTTCACTAGAACAGACCTCAGCGTTTCAAGTTTGAAGCTCAACAGAGAGCAGCTGAAAGCAGCATTTTCGCAGTGATCTTCAAAGATCAATTAACAAGTAGTTTAGGTCTCCAGTGAGAATGGTCAAAGACATTGATTATTGATAATGAGGAAGTCTCAAGTAGACAGACCATGGGTCAGAATATTAGTTAGAAGGTCAACATGCACTCTGCGTTTGGGTTACTGATGGCAGCTATCTCTAGATGCACGCAGAACGCAAAATCCACATCGGCGGCAGGATATTCAACACAAGTATTCATGGAGTCCACTGAAAGATAAATCACGCCGGGCCCCAATTGACTAAAACGCAACTAGTTACAGATAAAACAAACAAATGCGATCAAAAGCACATAGCTCGATTACAAACGGCGATATGGTGCATAATCGTTTACTAATAACTTTTCCATCGCCCGCGAAGCGCACCACTCCGAGGCTGATTATGCAGCACCTAAGCTGGAAATCTATAAAGAATCGTTAAGGGAACTGAAAAGTCAGCTGACATTGATGAACATGGTGGGCGAACTTGGTACCGATTAGAACCACCCCCGACGCGGTATGAAAAACGAACTGAACGTCGCTTGTTCAACCGACTTGCAGCATCCAAACTGAGACTGCGGTTAGGAGGATTTGTCAGTTTGGTTTAAGTGTGGAAAATATTTTTATTGGTAAGTCAGTAGCAACCTCTGCAAAAACCTGAAACAGTGTCTGATTGAAGGCGGTATGATGAGTTAGGCGTGTTGGTGAATGGCGGCGGTCCTGAGATGAAGAGGGCCAATGCCACTGAGAGCGGCCGTGAATCGCTGCAACTCGTTCGATGCATGGACCAAGGAGAAATTCTCCCGATTAAGAATGCGACGGAGAAAGATGATTGGCTCGTGCACATGTGTCAGGCAAACATTGGTGCATCAGTACGTGGAAGTGGAGATTTGGTATCGCAAAATCATAATGGCCCGGCTAATGGGGAGTGTGTGGTGGGAGGAGAGCTAACGTGAAACCAAAGCACACCAAACAAACAGTCAGGGTTAATTGTAAGTAGTATGGGGATTCATTAGGTATTTTGTGAAGACTCGTTGCAGTTAGGCTCAGGTGGAGAGCCACTAAACATCCAAGGAAGCGCTAGGGTTAAAGTGATCACACCTTGGCAACAATGCACGGACACGATAGGGCTAGCTGACACAAGCAACAATAGTCCAGAAGATGAGGCAGCCGGAACCTTCGAACTAAAGGGGTCGCAAATGAGAAAGGCCTTCACTGTGGCGCTGTAAATATAACCTTTAAGACCAGAGGAAATCCCCGTTTGGTTCCACATATGGCACATATTCAAGAACGCAGTTCCAGCCTACGAAGTGCATGCACTAGCAGCATTTAATAATGGTAGTTCGCATTCATGGTTCAACGCTACGGAGTACAGAAAGACACCAAAAAAGAGAAGTGTCCCGGCCAAAAGCAAAGACGCGGTCACTGCTGCCAAGATGAATGGATTGTGCAAATATCCACAGTTCCATGTCGGCAAGAGCCAAAAGATTACATATAGCGACTGAGGGTACTGTGACTATGCCGAACATTGAAAGTGCGAAACGCATGCTAAGAGATGGTACAGCTTCACAGACTAACCAGGTTTGAATGTGCCTCGCGATGATAAAACAGCAGAATGATGTCGTTCGCGCGATTCAAATCGGTCAGCTTTCCAGGATAGGAACTCAATGCATGCATTGTAAGATGCTGCAAGTAAACAATCTGTGGTGAAGTTCGCGAGATAAATGAGCAAAAATATGTAAAGCACCGTTACTGTGAAAACGTCCGATAATTCCCCGTAGACCCTGACGCGACCTGTGCTGTTCGAGTACAGAGCAGGTAAAGGAGCATAAATCGTATGGGAGTACCTTACCGTGCAAGTATGTTAAATAGGACGGACAGACCGATTAAGTCGAACATGTGCCTGAACGTAATAAATAGCCACAATCGGCCTACGATACATGTGATTCCGCCATTATACCAACTGCAAGTTAAGAAGTATGGGCGACGCAGTTTTACGCGATTTGATCAAATTCAGTATGCGCTCCGCAGCAGACGAGAGCAGAGGTCAATAACTTCGTCACTGTTGACTGCAATCTGGTGCCTTTGGGGTAAGCGCAGACCTTGCGACCGTTGTGAATATCATCATTAAGAATGACTCAACATAGTTGGCTGTGGTAGCAGTTAAATGCTAAGTGTCGCCCGCTGGTGCTTATGAACATGCTAGGTAGAAATAAAAGAACCATAACTCGAACCAGGGGCGACTCAAGTGATCCAGATACAACCAGGAATAAATAGCGACCCAAATTGACCACCACCATTATCATCATCGCCAGCAGAACATCGCCATCCGAACTGATGCCTCGATGCCGTACAACGACAAAGAGATATGGAAACAAAAATAATAGGGAAAAAGAAGTTAAGGAAAATCCTTAATAAGGCATCAGCAGTACGCCTGTACGCAGTACCGACCTATCTGCCGTGAAACCACCATCAGTCGCGCGTGGGTTAAGAATGTGGCTAAGGTCGCCCAGTCCCTATGCAGGTACCAAGCCACGCCCTTGGGTTACAAAGTACGAAAAGAATGGTTAGGGCTACGGACCAGTGAAAAACCTAAATGCCCCAAGCAAGCATTCAGAGTCAGGGCACATACACCTTGTGTTGACAACATGCAGCCACAAACACCTGACTATCGTGCAAAGGCGGGTATCAACGAGAGAGCCTCTTTGCAGCCTTCACTGCATCGTCAAAACCGGCCATTACCGCGCAGATAACTCAGCACCAAACACACTTAAGACAAGTAGCCCAACTAGGAGACGACATCAGACGCGCCACTGGTGCCGACTGCGAACCATGTCCTGTAAAGTCTCGAGCAAAGTAAAATGTGGATCACGTGGACTTCAGTCTGGTAGGCGAGACGAACAAGAAGCACACAGCTTGGCCATCAGTGTCTTCATTTTACGCCGCCAAGTCAACTTTTGTCCATCTCGAGCTTTGCGCCATCCTACATGTGGCATACTAAACAAGGCCCTCCTGGGTAAGCGGTGACCAGGCATACGTAGTTTGTGTCCAAGCCTATGTAACTCATTCAGTGCTATCCGTTGTTATAAAGAACTAGCTAGGTTATCAATGCCTAGTACTCACCTACGCACATCATTGTTGGGGACACGCTAGTGCCACCCGACACCAGTAATGCTCCGCAGGCAGCGATGAGAAAAAACTTGAAGGGGCCTCAGATCCTCAAACCGTAGGAACCAAGTCTCACACGCAAAGTCTAGTACGGCTCTCATTGTGGTCTTGCAAACACAGTCTTACAAAGCCAGGGAAACCGCTTTCAGATGCCACAGATGCCGATATATAAAGAAGGCAGTTCTGGCATCCAAAATACGTGAACTCACTTCAGTCGCTATGCGCCCATCGTTGCTGATGCAGCTGCCAAGGTAAGTGAATGGGTCAACCACCTCGAGTTCCTGGTTATCAAGGGTCAGGGGGTCATCAAGTGGCTGGTTGCCCCGCAAAAACACTTAGCAGGTTCGAAGCGTATATCAAACAATAGGACAACACTAGAGATGCTACTAAGGATTGATAGCGCTGTCCCAACATCACTAAACAGCAAGATGATATCATCCGTATACTCATTAGTTAGCCCTTCACCAGGCAGCACGGCAACGCCTGCATCGTGAGGCTGCGCAAGAAAATATTGCATGATGGAGTCCACGACGAAATTGAATAGAAATGGGGAAATTAGACAAACTCGATGAAAGCACCCAGTTGTCGGGAAGATATCAGATCAGACACCGCAGACCCCGATGTAGTCTACAGAGTATAGGGCACTTAAGGTGTTAACGTCTTTTATGAGAACACCTTTCCGCGCAAGTATTTCGAACGGGATGCATCGATTTACTGAATCGAACGCACTCCTGAAGTCGAGGAACACACCAATTATCGGTCTGTGGTAAGTAAGGTATTGCTCTAGCACCTTCGACACATTATATATATGGTCCTAGGCGAAAACCTGCCTGCTCTTCCCTAATCCAGGATTCTAGTTCCGCAGTGAGGCAACGAAAGATAATAGAGGACAGTAATTTTGTCACCACCAGCGTTAGGCTGATACCCCTGTGGTTAGCACAGTCGGTGCGACTGTCCTTCTCGCATATTACCACTATAATCGATTCACTTCAGTCAGTTGGGATCATCTCATCTTTCCATACATGTTCAAACAGGGAGGACAGTGCTATGTGGAGTACTTCACCTCCATCTTTAAATGGTGTAGCTGGAGGGGAATCAGGGCCAGCAGCAGGAAAACGACTGAGGGCTGTCATCGCATTTCGAACCCCAGCCTCCGACGGACGCTCTAAACTAACGAATCATAGTTCATCCTGCACCACCCGAGTAGAAAGAGGTCCGGAAGCAG